GCAATGATACTCCTGCCTCAGCCTCCCGAGGGGTGGGATTACAGGCGTGCGCCACCATGCCCGGCACCACTAAAATTTAAATGTGACAGAAATGTTTTGTTCCCCTATGCTTTCTGCTGAGTAGTTTTAAAGTATTCTTTGTATGGTTTGCAGACTACTGCAATGAGCTTTTTGATCTGGACTCCCTGAAAGTGAGTCTCCTAATTTACTGAGTAAAATAATCTAGAGGTAATAATAAAGATGACAAAGATAATTCTCACATAACCTGCCCATGAGCTCAAAAACACCTCTTTATTTCCATGCCAGTTAGCTTCGAGCCCAGCATCTAAGAGGTGCCTGATATATTCTTGGCGACAAATGTCAAACTTCTGAAACTGAGCAAGAAATGTTCCATGCCAAAGGGAATCCCTGCTCCACCTTCTAGCGTATCAGGCTTCCCTTCAAGAAAAGGAGATAAGCCAGTGTGGGGGGCACGCCTGTAAATCCCAGCACTTGGGAGGCTGAGGCAGGAGAACTGCTTCCTGTGAGTCCGAGCCCAGCCTGGGCTGTGCTACATAGTGAATTCAAGGCCTGCCTGAACTACATGGTAAGACCCGGAGGATTCTAAATCATACAGCTGTTAATCCAAAGGGCCCAGGGTGCCTTTTCTGTTTTCTATGTCATTAACTATGCTCGTCACTGTAACTTCCTAGAAATTGAGACCTGTATCTATCCAAAAATCCATCTGCATTGCTACAGGTATTCAGCACTGTGCCAAGAAGGTGTACATTTAATTACACTGAAAAGATTCACATTTCCAGATGACCACCCTCCACCTCATGATGCTCCAAACAAAATTCTCCTTGGTCACTGTGCTCATTCATTATTTACTTTCAGAGCACCTCTTTGTTGTTGTTCATTTTTATTTTTTTGGAAACAAGGTCTTGTGATATAGTTCAGATTGGCCTGGAACTCCTTGGCAATGCTCCTGCCTCAGCCTCCCGAATGCTGGGATTACACGCATGTGCCACCACGCCTGGTCTCACTTTTATGTTTCATAAGGTGTGACCCCTATTCTAAAGGTATTTGGAATCTACCTGGAGACACAAGATAGAAACAGACTTTCAATAATACACTGTAATACGCAGCCCCTCAATCAAATGTCCACATGAGATGTAGCTCAGCAGGAGAGCATGTGCTTCGCACACACAAGGCCATGGGTTTGGTCCCCCAAATCACAAACACCTCTACGTATTTTATAAGTGTGATTTGAGGGTATGTTAACACATTTTAACAATAAGAAAGAACAGCTGGGCATGGTGGCACATGTCTGTATTCCCAGCATCCTGGGAGGCTGAGGCAGGAGGACTACAAGTTTTGGCCTAGCTGTGGTAACTTGGGAAGTGAAAGGAAGGGGAAGACAAGGGGAAGGAAGGGAAACGAAACAATGAACGACCCGAGGTTGGCTGCCCACTTCCAGAGGTCCTGATGTTGCTAACATCTGAAAATACACGTTTCATTGGGCCTGTAATTTAGCCCTTGTAAAAACCGTGGGTTGGATAGAAAGAAGCTTAAGGAATTTGAATTACATCCTAAAGAATTTGGATGGCGGAGAGAAGGAAAGAAGGGGCCTACCAGAAAATAGCAAAGGGCAGGGGAATGAACTCTGTTCTAGAGCCTTAAAGACAGAAATAAGGCCGGGCGTGGTGGCGCACGCCTGTCATCCCAGCACTTGGGAGGCTGAGGCAGGAGAATCATTGCGAGTTGAGACCAGCCTGGGCTACAAGGTGAGCTCAAGGCCAGGCTGAACTGCAGAGCAAGACCCTGTCTCAAAAAGACAACAACAACAACAAAAAACCCCAAAAGACAGAAATAAACATAGAGCCATGCATCATTCCCACGTGTCAGTACTCCACTGAGTATTTTACAGGTGCACCACCTCATTTAATCATTGCTCAGTGCTCAGCGGTGGGCAGCACAGCCCCGTATTACGGCTGAGAAAACCTACACAGGTGCTGGGCTCAGTAATCCCATGTGAACACCAAAGCAGAAGCATCCACAACAACAGTAGGTGACACGGTTAGAACAGAGACAAAGCCGGGCATGGTAGCGCAAGCCTACAGTCACAGCACTTGAGAGGCTGAGGCAGGAGGGATGCTGTGAGTTTGAGCCCCACCTGGGCTATGTTACATAATGAGTTGAAGGCCAGCCTGAAGTACCCTGTCACAAGAAAACCAAGGAAAAAAATCAAATAAACAAAACTAGAACACAAAGTCAGACAAGTCGTCTTAAAAACAACTCAAGTCAGGGATACCAATGGAGATTTCTGCTTGAAGCTTAAAAGTTTAAATTCACTAGCCAGGGATGTAGCTCAGCAGTACAGCGCCTGCCTGGTAAGCGTGAGGCCCTGAGTTTGATTCCGGTACCCCTAATCCAAAAAGTTTAAATTCAAAATGAAAAAAACAAAAACAAAAACACGAATCAGTATGCATATTATGTTTCTATATGTTTTATGAATTTACTTATGATTAAATATGTACCTACAGGGGCTGGGGATTTAGCTCAGTGGCACAGTGCCTGCATGGCAAGTGTGAGGTCATGAGTTTGATTCCCAGTACCGGAAAAAAATCGAAAGTCAACCCCCCCCCCCAAAAAAAGTACCTAGTATACACAACAAAATGCAAACTGGTTACTATTAGATACAACTTTTTTGCTTGCTTTCAATTTTACTATATATAAAATATACCCATTTATATGTAAATATGGGCTTAAAAATGACTTAAACTTACTGTCACCCCTGTAATTATGTCCTGTGACATAAGCCATAATACAAAAACACAAAAGGTTCAAAAATAATTTAAATGTTCAAAGTATGATTTATATATGTACCAGTTCCCCAAAACAAATGTAACTATTACGTATCACAAACACACTGACAAAAAATAGGTAAAAAACATTAATATCCATGTTACTCCAATTCTTAACCAGAAAGTCCTCAGGTAACCAGTGTGGTGGCCACTGGGCAGGCTGAGACAGGAGGACTGCAAATTCAAGTTCAAGGCCAGCCTGGACTACATGGTGAGACCTTATCTCAAAAAAAAAACAACAACAACAAAAAAAACCCCGCAAAAGTCCTGAGGCAGTGGGGTTAGGGATGGCAATTACCTGAACACAAATCCGGTACTTTTTCCCTAGGAATTGAAACTAAGGCCTTGCATATGTTAGGCAAGTGTTCTACCACTGAGTAGATATATCCCCAGCCCTCGAATCAGATACTTTTCTAAACATGTTTATTTTATTTTGGGGGGAGTTGCTGGGGCTTGCACCAGAGCCTTTGCACTGAAGTACATCCTCTACTCTTTTTTATCATTTTGAGACAGGGTCTTGCTAAAGTGCTTAGTTGCCCAGGCCGGACTTCAACTTCTGATCCTCCTGCCTTAGCCTCCCACAGTACTGGGATTACAAGCATGTGCCGCCAGCACCTGCCTGGCTAAGAATTCTTGTCATTAGAATTATTCTTTCATTCTTAAAGTAACCACACCTCAGTGAGAAAAGCAATTCATCAACTCTTCTGCAGGGCCACAGTTAGGTCATAGCAAAATCAGAAAGGAACATGAGCTTTCAAAGGGACAGAGACTTCTCTTTCCCAGCATCCTTTTTTTTTTTTTTTTTTTTTTTGTCTTTTTGAGACAGGGTTTCACTATGCATGCAGTTCAGGCTGACCTTGAGCTCACTCTGTAGCCCAGGCTGGTCTCGAACTTGCAGCAATCCTCCTGCCTCAGCCTCCCGAGTGCTGGAATTATAGGCATGCACCACCACGACTGGCTTTTCCAGTGACCCTTCTCACAAAGCTTAATGTGGACTAAAACCTGGCTTAGGAAGCCAAAGAGATCAGCCACATAAAGGGGGCTCAGGGGTGAGAAAAACACCAACACATTTAAAAATATACCTGTGCTAAAAGACACTGATTTGTACACATCCCACTCTGTATTTCTAAAACGAGCCCTGAAATTCACTGAGTAGTCACATTCAATGTTTTTGACTGGTATTTAATGTCTAACATACTTGTCAAGATTCCAGCAGTAATTGGTCCCACGATGCCCATCAACAGGATGCTTACAGACATGAACCTACCATATTTGTGATGTCTGAGGGTGAAGAGGGCCAGCAATCCAGCGGGGACGTGAAAGAACAGAGAGGACACCAGTGCCCACAGGAACACGCCATACCACATTTCTGCGGGCAAGGGAAGGACAGGCTGTGGTCACTCGCTTCCCCAGTGCGACCCTTGCAAAGTGGCCTGCAGGCCCACTGCGTGCATTTTCAGACTTCTTCAGTCACACATGTGGGCTCATCAGCCCAATGTGCAAACACTGCCGGCTTCGGAGTGGTCAGCAAACTACACACAGGCACTGCCTGTTCTTTGTCTTGTTTTGGTTTGGGTTTTTGAGACGGCCTCACGATGCAGTCAGGCTGGCCTCAAACTCACGGCGGTCCTCCAGGCTACTACACCCAGCTCCACTGCCTGTTTTTGTACATAAAATGCTTTAGCTGTGTTTTAAGACCTGTATACATAACAACTTCTTTGAACACATCCTTGTTTACTGAGGTATCGACTGACAGCTTTCCAGTGACAAGGGCAGAGCTGGTTAACACGGACAAAGATTACATGGCCCACAACCCTAAAATACTGACTTTCTGGCCTGTTTTGTAGAAAAAGCTGACCAACTATTCATTAGCTACTTCTACCCTCAAATTGAAAAAAAGGTTCACCAAGATCTGTAAAAAAGCCAGGTGTGGTAGTACATGCCTGTAATCCCAGCACTCAGGAGGCTGAGGCAGGAGGATGGCTGTGACTTCGAGGCCAGCCTGGGCTACAAAGTGAGCTCAAAGCCAGCCCGAACTGCAGAGTGAAACTGTTTCAAAAAGACACACACACAAAAAAAATTGTGTAAAAACACCCAAACAGCCAGGCACAGTGGAGCACACCTGTAATTCCAGCACTTGAGAAACTGAGGCAGGAGGATGGCTGTGAGTTCAAGGTCAGCCTCAACTGTATAGTGAGTCTCAAAAAGGAGTGGGGGTCTGGGGGTGCAGTGGTAGATCACAAACTTGGCATGCCCAAGACCCTGGGCTCAATCCCCAGCCCTGGAAAAAAAGGCATAAGTAATTTGCTAATTGACAGAGTACTATGCAACTGATAACTATTTTCTTACCTTTCTGATTGTTCAGTCTTCTAAAATGGAAAACCTGTACAATTCATTCTACATCATTTTAAAGACAATGCGGTACACATTAAACCATTACCTCCTACTAGGATATCAAAGCTCCTTAAGATAGGAAATAAATACCAGAAAATATAAATGTTGGGCTTGAAGGCAAGTTAGAAGAGTTGGCTCCTATAAAGAATATCTGCTCACTTTTTTGTTTGATTTTTGAGACAGGGTCTTGCTACACAGGCCAGGCTGGCTTGAACACCTAATCCTGCCTCTGCCTCAGAACCCAGCTCTATATTAAGATAGTTGAAATTCAGACATTATTTTTTTTTCTTTCTGATACTGAAGACTGAACTGAGGGCTCACGCGTGCCAGTTAAGAACACGCCCTGCCCCTGAGCTCAGAGCTACACTCCTAGCCAGTGTAACATACCAGATCACCAACTGCGTATGAGAAGCTGTGCAGGAGCCACCTGGGAAACAACACCATCCTGCGTGCATGTGATTTTCCACGTAAGTGGCAGACACAGCGTTTTTCTCCAGCGAGCCCAAGCAAGGCTTCCGGATCCTGAGGCAGTTCTTTAGCTATTCACATGCAGAAAATGAAGGGCACACACCAGGTAAAGGCCCTGTCACCCCTGGCAAGGGGCGGGGAAGGAAGGGAGCAGATCGGCACCCCGCTTAACCCAGCAGGCTTCTGCACGGCACTGCTGCCACTTCCAGCAGGCGACATTTCGTTGGGAGGGCAGCCCTGTGTATTGGAGGACAAGGAGCAACATCCCCGGCAGGAAAAACCTTTCTTCCTAGTGTGAGGCCAAAGTATCTCTGCACACTGCCCAATGTCCCCAAGGAGGCAAAACTGCCCTGATTAAAAACCATGGGCTAGCCGGGTGAGGTGGTGCACACCTGTAATCCCAGCACTTGGGAGGCTGAGGCAGGAGGATGGCCGTGAATTCGAGGCCAGCCTGGGCTACAAAGTGAGTTCATGGTCAGCCTGAATTGCATAGTAAAACCCTGTCTCAAAAAGACCAAATAAATAAATAAATAAATAAATAAAAACAAAAACCACAGGCTGTACGGAAGCAGACAGGTTATACGCACAATGGCAGTTACAGCTATGTGGGCTCTTATTAAGGGGGTTTGCCCAGACCAAGGACTCCACCATGAAAGCTCTGGATATACTTTTCAAGCTCCCAAGCAGTGAGGGGCATCAGGACAACATTCTGAAGGCCCCATCCCGTACGCCCAGTCAGAACACAAATAACCGTAGAAAACCACCTTTTTGGAGGGGAATTTGAAAGCTAAATGCGTATATCCTTTATAGCAGTGACTTCATTTCCATGAGTACATCCTGCAGAAATACACACGGAGGCAAGGAGGAGGTCACAGGTGGCAGCACTGTCTATATAACAAACAAACACAACCGGAAGCCAGCTGCATGGCTAACACCATGGGATTGTAGAACACGTTCTGTGTATCCATGTAACAGAACAACACATGCCACGTAAAAATGAGATAGATGTACATACAGCAATGGCTTATGAGGCTCAAGCTGCAACGTGCAGTGAAAAAAGCAGGTTGCAAATAGTTATATGGAATAAGAACCTGTTTTTGTAAAAGCAATATAAAATATGCAGGTGTAAATGGTTCTATGTTTTCAGAGACAAGTCTGGACATTTTTATGTAGTCAATAAACATGACTAACATCAACTCATTCACTCTTCAGGACAGTGCTGAAGCATCTATGACAACCCGGATGGTGGCAGAGGCACGTGCTGTACCACTGAGCTAAATCGCAACCCAAATAAATGGTTCTTAGGGCTCGGTGCTTGTTAAAAATGATGTGTTTTGGCACGTTCGACCCACTGAAAAACTATCACATAGCTACCAAAGGGTTAAAACCACTGTGAGATTTGTCCCCTCTGCTTTGTGGGACAAATCTCAGAATTATAACGTTAGTTATAACATCAGTCATAATACTATTGAAATTGATCTATTTTGATAGTGTTTGGAAAATTCTGTTTAAAAACACATTTAAGGCCAGTTGTGATGGCATATGCCTGTAATCCCAGCACTCGGGAGGCTGAGGCAGGAAGACCACTGTGAGTTCGAGGCCAGCCTGGACTACACAGTGAAATCTTTTCTTGAAAAGACAAAAAAAAAGAAAGAAAGTCATGTAATGTGGAGTATGAAGTGATTAAATATATTCATATCCTAAGCTTAAAAATTAAATATACTATTTATATAGAAATATAACCTGGCATATCTTAGATATAGAACACACACATACCAAAGAAAAAAGCACCTTTCCAGCCAATAGGTTCTGCTCCTCCCTTGTAGAAGTGCACCTGTCACAGTGCCAGCACCCACAAATCCCTCCGGTCTGGGCTGCCACGCTCATACTCTGGCTCAGTCACGGCATCCTGGCCTCTCAAGCTAAGGACCCCTGTGTCAGCCAGCTAACCCCGACGCCTCAGGAGGCACCATGCAACTCCCTTCCAAAGCAGAAATACCATCTCCATTCTAGGAATGTTCACCAGCCACTCCCCGGCTCACTGAGAGCCTGACCACCCTAACACCTGCTCTGTATGATGATTCTACGATGGCACCAGGAACGCCCCTGCCCGCAGGACGATGTGAACCTGTCTCCAAGAACCGAGGGCAGCTCTTCCTGTAAGTGGCCTGAGGTGACCTGTGAAAATGGTTCGCTACTCTCTTGACCCAGAAAATGCCACAAAAATCATGCAAATCAAGGCGCTCAACTCTTCATGTTCACTTTAAGAACATTCAAGAAACTGCCCAGGCCATCAAGGGTATGCATATCTGAAAGGCCACCAAGTATCTGAAGGATGTCACATTAAAGAAGGAATGTGGCCGGGCGTGGTGACGCAAGCCTGCAATCCCAGCACTAGGAAGAAGGAGGATGCAGGAGGATCCTCGTTGCAAGTTCGGGACCAGCCTGGGATACAAAGTGAGCTCAAGGCCAGCCTGAACTGCACAGAGAGACCCTGTTTCAAAAAAAAAAAAAAAAAAAAACAACGAAGCAATGTGTGCCATTTCGGTGTTACAGCTGGTAGCTGTGCCCAGGCCACACAGTGGGGCTGTCACAGGGTTGGTGGCCTAAAAAGAGTGCTGAATTTTTGCTGTACGTGCTTAAAATGCAGAGAGTAATGCTGAACTTAAGGGTGTAGATGTAGATTCTGTGGTCATTGAACACATCGCCAAAGCACCCAAGATGCGCAGCTGCACCTGCAGAGCTCATGGCCGGATTAACCCACACACGAGCTCCCCCTGCCACACTGAGATGATCCTTACTGAAAAGGAACAATTCTTCCTAACCCAGAGGAGGAGGTTGCACAGAAGAAAAAGATATCCCAGAAGAAACTGAAGAAACAAAAACTTATGGCACGGGGGTAAATTAAGCATAAAATAAGTGCAGGTAAAAGTTAACAAAAAAAAGAATTGCAGGCAATCACTACTTGGCTGCTGTCTGACACTGAGGTAGGTCAGAAAAAAATAAAAGGTAGAAAGGAGACAAGGAAAACATAACTAATAACACTGTACTTAAGACTGCAACTTCTGGGGCTGGGGATTTAGCTCAGCAGCACAGTGCCTGCCTGGCAAGCGCGAGGTTGTGAGTTTGATTCCCGGTACGGGGGGCGGCGGGGGGGTGGGGGAAGAAGACTACTGCAACTTCTACAACCTGAAGTCCCCTGAAGCAACCCAATTCAGTGTTCCCTTGGTGACAGTTAAACTCTCTTCTTTCCAGATGCAGCACTCTCAAAGTCCCTCAGGAGTATCGGAAGTTCATAAATTGGCTTAATGGAGAAAGCACAGAGCAGGAACCTGATCCTAAGGAACAAGTGGAGAGAATTCAACAAATGCTCAACTCATCTGAAGGAAAAAAAGCAGGGCTCATACCTGTGGGAGGGGTGAGTACCTTTCAGGGGTGTCCCACTCCGAGAGAAGCACAAATGTTCCCTGTTCCAGGAAACACTGCGCCTGCCCCTGAGGGCCCGCC